TTTGAAAAAATAAAAAAATGATAAAAACTTCAAAAATAAAATCCTTCGAGAGGTAGTTATATTACTATATCTACTAGTTAGGAAAATTTGAAAACTTAAATTTGGACATGTTTTGCAAAAAGTGTAGGGAAAATGTAAAACGGCTATAACTTTTGCATACGATGTCGGAAAAAAACGTATAATATATCAAAAAATTCAGCACGAAAATCCGCATTCGATGGAGACAGCCTATGACCTGTTTGGAATTTTTTAGAATCCTCAAATTCGAAAAGGAAAAAAAGATATGGTCAAATTTCATTTTTTTTAAAAAATTTTGGTTAAATTTGGTCAAACTACTTATTCAAGAAGTATTAATCTTACTACATAATTATTCAAGAATATTAGTGTTACTAAATAATTATTTCACTTTTTTGAATTTTGGTCAAATCTGGTCAAACTATGGTCAAACTATGGTCAAACTTATTCAAGAAATATTAGCGTTACTAAATAATTACTATTTTTTTAGAATAATAGTTTCACACTCAAACGGTGAAATGTGTGACTTCATGCTCAAGCTAAACTCCTGAGGGTTAATAGGATTGACATCTTACTATTATCAGGAAAACAACAAGTGCATACTCGGAAGCGAAGGAGAATAGAACCCGAAAGTTCGGTACTAAAGGTCTCCCATACCAGGGCGCGAGCTCACGCCACGTGGTGGCACTTTAGCGCCGGTTCGTGCCGAACCGGTACTAAAGGGGGAGGGGCTTTAGTGCCCACACTTTAGTGCCGGTTATGAAACCGGCACTAAAGGCCCTTACGAACCGGCGCTAAAGTTCCGTTTTCTACTAGTGTGTCGACATGGTTTTTCCCGCAAGAGCTTGTTGTTTAATACACCAAATGCTTTTTCACCATCGACAATGGAGAAGTCGATTAAGCGCAGCACATGTAATTCTTGCATTACTTTCTTTGTTTTATCTGTTTCTACTGCTCGTTAGTATCTCTCTAGAAAGTATTTAACCTCCCCCTCAAAAAAAAGTATTTAACTTTGTGGAGAAAAATTGGACACCACCAGAAATTTGAGTCAGGTGTAAAACAAAAAAATTGAGGATAAGATGTGAGTATATTGCATCGTTATATTTGCTTGTTGGGCTATCATCCTTCATGGGGCCCTGTGTGACGAAGCAGCCATACATGGGCTGACACATGGTGCGGCCCATTAACAGGTAAAATAGCTTATTTTTTATTTTATATAAAATCTCTAAAATTTATGTATATTGTTTGTGAGGAGATTTTTAAAATATATGTACCTCACTATTTATATAATCATGTGAATAATAAGAATCAAAGCGTTCACGTATACCAAATAAGTGTATGTATGTGTATTTTAGAAAACATGTCCATATTTTTTTCTTCAATATTGTCATATGTGGAAATAATTATCCTTGTGTTAAAAAAATAAAATGTTCACATATATCAAACTAAAAGTTTGTGCATTCAAATAAACTGTTGCAAAAAAAGTCTAGTGTATTGAAATATTTTGTGTGTGTATAAAACATGTACTCCAAAAAATAAAATATTTTGTGGAATCTTTAAAAATAAGCTGGTATGTGACAAGAAATGTTTATATAAAACTAAAAGAGCAGCTCACGTTAAAATTGTCACGTTTTCCAAAAGAAGTGTTATGCATTTGTCAAAAAGGAGGCTAATAAGACTTTGGTTCAAACAGATTTATATGTGCTTTGGATGTGCTTTATGTTTGAAGTCAATAAAAACCCCATTTAAAAAAAGAATACTAGTATAATTTGTTTAACAGTTTTTTGTAGTGCAGAGTACAACATTTTTACATGTGGCAATGTAACTTAGTATCAAACAATTGGATGGTAAATTGTCTATTTTCAACAGTTGTCGGTGCTTAGGACATTATTAGGCTTTGTTGTTGTTACGGGCCTTGTTGCTCTTGGCGTCCCGAGAATATAAGGGTGTTGGTGAAAAGCTTGAACAATGAATCTGAATGCACTGTCCAGTACACACAAAAATAATACAGTAGGACATAGGGATCTGAATCATACAAACATTTTGTGGCAGGTAGCCGTGAAGCCGCAACTGGGCGACAAAAACAATTCCCAAAGTGTATTGTACGTGTACGTGCGCTACCAACCCCACCACACCACTGTACTGTTGGAGAGGAGGAATGCAAACATGATTGGGGTGGGATACCTGAGCCAAGGTGAGAGGCCAATTGGATTCCATGATTCCCTC